GCACAAAGAAGTACATAATTTTTAAATAATGTTTGTGATTAATATAGAACTCCATTGGATGGATCTGATGTTTGGTCTAGAGGTTGGGTCCTTCATGTAAACAATAAATCATCTTAGAAGACAACAGAGGTGGGGGTAGGTGGAAATAAAGTTGTGCGTAGTTGATAACTGTGGAAATTACCAAGGGTCAGCAACTTACGGCACGCGTGCCACACATGGCACGCTAAGCATTTCCAATGGCACTCAGCTGCAAATGACATCACAAAGTCCGAACCAATAACTGCTACAAAGCAAAGAAGATAATTAGCGGTTTCAATTTTAATATATACTAAAGTATATATACTATATATTACTATATAAAATATATTGTAGAACATGTATATTGACTTTGACTTGTATAAAAATACATATGCTGTTGGCACACTGATTTTAAAACCCTAAGTCGGCACATACGTAATTAGCAAAAGGTTGCCGACTCCTGGTTTAGAGGTTGGGTCCTTCATGTAAACAAATCTTAGAAAGCAACAGAGGGGGTAGGTGGAATAATGTTGTGGGTGAGCTATTTTTTTAGGTACTAAAATTATAGGTTCCTTCAAAATTGATGAAAATATCATGAGAAACGCATAGAATTATAGCTGGCTATTGACCTTTTTGCGAAACTCATCTGAAAACACCCAGTGAATGGAATGGTCTCCTACCTATCTAGATAATCTAGATATTTACCCATGTATCTTAGAAATGATTAAAGATATCTTAGTGGAATTTTCCGAGATTTTTATAACACTATTAGACTCTACTTTGAGCAATAAGAATGTATAATTACTCTCCAAGCTTAACATAAACGAAAAGGACATGTTCATCATTAATTAGTCATAGCTAAGGATCCGAAGCTCATCAAGGATTGAAATAAATTTAATATACATACATATATATATATATATATATATATATATATATATATATATATATATATATATATATATATATATATACTCTCTCTCTCTCTCTATATATATATATATATATATATATATATATATAATTCTATTATATATATATATATTATTTCAGGATCATTTTCCAACTTATTCAAGACGATCTTCGCCCTCTCTAACATTCTAACTTTCTGTCCTGGAGTAACAAATTGCCTTATACGTTTCACGTACGATTTCATTTACAACTATTTTTTCACTGCTCTTTGGACTGTGAAATTCCTGTACCACGTGCCAAATGTCTTATGTATTGAGTTGGATCTTTTCTAATTGATCTCTTTAGCACTAAGTTTTTTATGGTAGTATTCATTACTGTCAGAGACAAATTGTTATCTGACGCAGTTAAATTTCTTACAAATTGAGTGAGGAAAGCTGCATCAGTGTGTGACCACTAAAACCGTTCCAATTTGGTTTGGTTTGGTTTGGTTTGTTTTACGGTATATCAACTTCAATGGGTTATTTAATGCCGACAAACCTTTCTTCAAAAATCTATTCCCGGAATATATCTTCTTGAAGAAATTTATAGCTGGTAATATTTTTATCCAAAGAATGTATAGCTGTTTGTATTGCTGGTATTTTTTTTTAAGTATTGCTGATAATAATTTTTCTTTCAAAAATTATTGCTGGTAATATTTTCTTTTATTACAAAGTACTTTTGGTATTAAAACCTATTTTTACACAAGTTTGGGTGTCAACTATTTGCCCATAGCTGGGACCCTAACAGGTGCTACCACCCCGGGTCAGGTTGGATCTGGGAACATCAGCAATTAAGTGGTAGTGCGAAGCTCCTCAAAACCTCCCAATCAGAGGCCTTGCTGTTGGACGTAGTTTATCGTCATACCCAGAACAGAAAACCGTTCTGAAAGTTAAATTTCTTATAATAATGCAATAATGAATACTACAATATTTATTTTGTAATAAACCATCCTGATGATGACATTTTTATGTCGAAAGTACTCGGAAATAAAAGAAATATGTATCAAGACGGCGATTTTCTCACGTCCCTCAATAATGACACCAAAAAAAGCTTATCCACGAGTATGAAAGGATCTTATTGAAAATAAGATCCCAGAATATGTCTAAACTATACAACGAAGCATGTCTTTATATATATATATATATATATATATATATATATATATATATATATATATATATATATATATGTGATTTCGTGTGGGTGTACGTGTGTTATGTATTATGTTCTGTCTTTCACCACGACTAATGTTTTATAAACTATCGATTCCTCAATTGATCTCTAATGCCAATATAGAGCCAGCAGTAGAAAGGATGAAGTTTTTCACACTAAACTCGATTTGAATGAAGAGGCAAATATTTGACTGTGACGTGTTCAGGATGACAAAATCTCTGTCAATTTTTACTATTTTCGGGAATATATTCTGAAAGTTGCCAAACAAAAAAAAAGAAAAGGCTCATTTCTTTTTTGAGATGTCTTTTAAAGAAATGAAATCTTAACGAATAACCCTAAAAAAGGAAATTGTCTTTACAATGTACATGGCCTTGTTTATTTCTTGAAAACTCTAAACAAGAAAGAGTAAATAAAGCTAAGATTAGTAGATCACAAATCGAATAAACAACGTAACAAAAAACATTTGCAGTTCGTCTGAAGTTATTATGCAAATCACAACGCAAATCACAAATCTCAATAACTCAAATTTGCTTTGAAAAATTTTTTGTCAAATTTTAAAAGATTAATTTAGACATCAAAACAAAGGTCGAGTTAACTTTTTAGGTAGAAACATGTGGAAACTACCTAAGATTTAACTTAAGCTTTGTTTAAATTAATTGTTTAAAATATGACAAAAAATTTTCAAAGCAAATTTTTTAAACGCGGACTGTAGACTTTGAAGAGCGTGATAGTAATCGAAAGGTAGTATTTATGTGTGGAGGTCTCTTTAGATTAACCATGTGTCCCCTAAAAACATTCAATTGAATAATTCAACAATCTCAAATTAAAATGGCGTCAACACATACATAGATCAACAGTCTAATAATAATAATAATAATAATAGAAATGGATACTGAAATCAAAATCTCAATAATGTGGCACATGGAAACATCAACGATCCCTGTTGTAGTTGAAGCCCTCAGATTGGTTGGAAAAGATTCCACTAGAGTCATTGAAGGGTTCCTGGTAGCCCGTGCCTTTAAAGAAATACAAAAAAAGGTGTTCTCATGAGTACAGATCACACCTTACGAAGGGATTTATCTCTCTAAAATTTTTATATATATATATATATATATATATATATATATATATATATATATATATGTATGTATGTATGTATGTATGTGTGTGTGTGTGTGTGTGTGTGTGTGGAAAATGTAATGATTCCATTTCTAACCTTACGTCTCTGGACGGGATCCGGAAAGAAATGAGTATGTGGAATCTTCCATATTAGCCTTCCACCCCTTTCGGAAAGATGTATTCTTCCCTAAAAAAAAGCCTTAACCAATCACCGCTTTGTTTCAGTAAA